CAGAATACATAACAGAAAAGATCAAATAACAAATTGTGTGATATTTATATTAAGTTCTCTTCAATAGGGCAATGATTATTACTCCCTTGTTATTGTAGTGTCAAAATTGCTTGTTTTGTGCTACCATCTTGCGGTGGTGGGGGTGAGCAATGTCCCTTGGGAATATGGGTTGTCATAGGATGTATACAGTGGTTATGCTTATTTTTGTGGGCAAGTGTATTCTGCTAATACTAAGTTCTGCGTGTTACTTGCCGTAGTGTTGATGCTAACTGCTTACATTGTGTATAAACTGTAATATCTTTTTCAGCTTCGATAAAACCCGTTCGTTGTCGAGTCATCGTGACAGTGTACATATCATAACAAGTGCCTCAACCTTTCTGTTTCAATGTAAATGTTGCCTGATAAGTCGAATTCAAACAGATCTGACGACTTCCGACGCAGAATTTAATGCGTATAAATAAATGAAAGAAAAAACTGTACACTGATGGACAAAGCGTTTTAGAACACTAGGCCCGCCCACATCTTGTAGATGTGTGTAAGCAGGACACCATGGAGAAGATGTAAAGCATATCTCAAAGCATTTTTGATCTCTATACACTGGATTAAGACTTGATAATTGAAAGTGTCGACTGGCTCTATCTTCGCGGAAAGATCGTCGGGACCTTTAAGGATAATGAGGGCGAATGTCTTCGAAAGGCGTTCTAGGTGTGGAAACGAAGACAAATCAAAACGCTGTTAATTTCCTACACTTGTAGGATAGCAATACCCAGAAAGTCATTGTTTTCATAGTCACAGTACTTAACCGGAAATTACATAATTGAAGCAGTTGATAAAACACCGTATAAGACGGAATATAACGGGAGCCCTTATTTCTCCAACGAAAAAGTTCGATTAATTTAACAAAACTGAATTTGCCATTTAGTTATGAGGGTTAATCCTTATAATCACTTTCTTAATATTTATCCTTAAGGACCCGAAATAAGGTGACATCTATTTTATATTAAGCAGTATTTAAAAAAAAGATCTCTGCCTACTACGGTAGCCACAAAAATGCTCTCGTTAACTGTTAAAATGCTTCAATAGGTCATGCGCTTGCCATCACAGAGCAGTACTGAACTGTATACAACTGAAAACCATTCAGCTATTGTTGAAATAACCAGCAAAGGGGAAACTGTTGCTAAGGAGTGAAATAGAGTTAAGTGGTTGATGAAGCTGCCATGAGAATATAATACTAGACACTCAAGAGTTGATTTTATGTAAGCAACATTCCAGGTACCGATCTGAGTGGCTGCGCGGTCTAAGGCATGAACTGTCTTCGCTCGCTCGAACGCTGGGATCGTGGGTTCAAATGCCACTTGAAGTATGGATGTCTGTGTGCGTTCATTCTATGTTCGTGTTGTTCTGTGTGTAGGTAGCGGCCTTGCGACGGGCTGATCCCCCGTCCAAGAAGTCCTACCGACTGTGTGTAGATCACGAACCTGAAATAGCGGCCAAAATCCAACAAAAGGACTGTACAGCCTTATATACATTCCGAGGAAGCAACGCTGCTATGAAAATAACGACGCTCAGAATTATTATGATATGTATCATACGTTCAAAAAGTTAATCGACGGATTCTCGCCTCGGAGGTCCATGTGGGATTTGTGGTGGACAAAGTGGCCGTAGGGGAGGATTTTCTCAAGCATTTTGGTTTTGTTCTATCAATTTTCACGCCACCAATTCCCCATAATGATTTCTTATCAAGGGGCGGTACAGCAGACCCATTTTACGTCACAGTACCAAGAAACTCAGTGTCGTCACTAACCGGCTTATAACCTGACAAAAAATTGCCCATTTTCCATGTTCACTAGGTATTGCAGAGTGTAGCAGTGAACTGACCTTCTTTATGCGAATATCATTTAACATTCGTGGTGTATGGTTTGCCTCAGGTGAAAGCGTTTATTTATCTTGTTAATTTTTTAACACTGCCAACAGGAACTCATATCCACGTGTATATGAAGACCATTATTTTCTGTTACATTACGCAACTGGTGGTGACAAATGAAGAGAAGATAGTCGGTAACAAATGAAATACGTTAAATAGTTAATCAGACTGTCACCAGAGTGCAGTGTCCTTCTCCATAATAATAGTAATATGATGAAGGAAAATGATAATTATAAGAACCAAATTAATAATTATTTACCGGTAGAAGTGTCATTGAGATATGTTGTGTGAATGATAGGTTACATGCTATGAGAATTAGACGTCATCTCAAAGAGGAGGACTTCCTTAAGCTGCATTTTCAACATACATTTCTAGCTGAACCAGTTACATTTAATTAAAATGTACATATGGCTTCCAACCTAATACGTTTATAAAGCAAAGACCATCCCAATGAACGTTCTTAGAACTGTATTACATAAACAGACTTCATAAATGCAAATGGTATGCAAGGCAAAGGGGCATAGTCTTGTGGAATTTCGTACTGTATAGGACTAATGGAAATTTCCAGCCATCAATATTTTCTAACGCCTGGAAGCAAAGTCCTAGTTCAGCAGGCATCTCAAGGTTCATAGCTCACGCCACTGGATCATATTTTAACCTGTCTTATCTAACGATAGACTGCATGGAACAACTGACTCCAAGGAGCAGGGTTTTTCTTGAGAAATTAACAGTCGTCCGTCTGGTCAAGAAATTTTCTGCCCTTTATGGGACTCCGAGGGTAATTCGGTGTTTACAGACTCTGACCCTGCATCATATAAGCCTAGCCATTGGCTTACGGTCGATGTGCAATTAATAAAATTTGATCCTGGCCGTAATGACCGAAGGCCTGCCGTTACTAATGTTGTAGCCTGTTAACTGTATGGGACAGTCCTCCTTCAGGATCTAATAATCGCTCAGTCATTTCGTGACTATTATTGGAACCGGATGTTCATTTTCATGTTCACAAGAGCCCGCCACTAGGCCCTGCCCTCAGTCAGAAGAATCTAGGTCACATCCCCACATACAGTGTTTCTTTAACATCCATTTTAATATTATCCCATCTACGCCTAGGTGCCCTAAGTTACCTTAGGTTTTCCAACTACAATTTTGTGTATATTTCTCATATCTCCCATGCATTTTTTTATTGCTAGTGGAGTGGGACTAAGTCCCTTCTACTGCGGCCACTTCTGGCCTATTGTACCAGCCCCAGATGATAGGTGAGGATGACTGTGGAGCAATTGGTGAAATGAAGATTGGCAGGGGAAACCGAAGTACTCGGAGAAAACCTGCCCCAGTGCCACTTTGTCCACCACAAAATCCCACTTGATCAGACCTGGGTTCGAACCCGGGCGGCCGCGGTGGGAAGCCAGCGACTATCTCTCTCCCATGCATGCTACGGTCCCCGCCATCTCATTCTCTTCCGTTCAATCGTTTTCTTATACATCCTCAATTTATGTTCTTCTCTTAATGTGAGAGACCAAGTTTCACACCCGTACAAAAATGAGTAAAATTATAGTTTTATGTGCTTTAATCTTTTCTTTTTTTTTTAATAGAAGATAGGAGGACAAGGGAGTGACTGAGTTTTAACAAGCATGTCCACAATCTGATGCAGTGTGTCTCAGTTCAGAGTAAAGTTCATGCTTCTGTGGTTCTGCGCCACGATCGGTGATTGAATTCCTCAAGAACCGGTCCTAATTACGTACAGAAACGCATCCAAATTTGGACATTCTCAATATTTTTCTTAAGAACTTAATATCTACGTATTTTTTATAATAATACAGTGTTTTTCAATTCAGAATAAAGCTCATCTTTCGCTGATTCTGCGCCCGATCAGTCAAAATATTCCTCAGGAACCGGTCCTAATTACATACAGAAATTTGGACATTTTCACTATTTCTTCAGAGTTTACGTCCGGTTATTCTGTAAAGCTTTTTTCATTATGGGTAAAATTTTTAAGCCTGTGAATACTTGTAACGCGAGACAGTGGGGGCCCGTGGCACCTGCATATATGGCGCACGGCGTGAAGACGTATGGGCTACGGGCTCTTGCATTATTATTCTCTCTCATTGGATCTACGCTGAGGAAAATACAGGCGCTTCTGAAAGTCACCAGGGAATTAGAACTGCTTCATTTAACACGTCATTAACATTTAAAAATGCAATCTTGCGTTTCTAATTCGCTGTATCAGGCATACAAGTCGCCACTGCGACTTGACACTCTTCATAGCTATAGAACGGAGACGCCTGGTAAAGATGTAATTAAGAATATTTACTCAGTATAATATTAAGTGTATAGCAACTGCTACAAAAATAAAAATGTGTGAGGATTACTAGTAATTATGAAGTGCAACATTAATATCTGAAGTTGTATGGGGTTATAATTAATTGCCTCCAAACATCAGAACTCTTCTGTTATTTGCTGCCTGGATTCAGAAGGAATGTTTCCATTTTGCACAATTTCCGTACATTAACAGAATATGTATTGGTTTTCTTTCATTCGCATGAGATGCTGTAGTAAAACTGAAAGTTTAAGTTTTGCCTTATGAAATCATATAGATTTCCTATAAGTCGTATGAATTAAATTAGATGCCAGAAAGTTTAACACCCCAAGAATAACTTGTATGCGTAATCTCTGGTTTGAAGATCGTGGGTTGGTGGGCGTATGTGTGGGTGAATTCGTGGCTAAGTGGCTTGTTCTAGAAATACGCGCTTACGCCGGGGAAAAAATCAGAACTTTGACCTACGATTATAAACCTAAGAATACATTTCTGACTTTAATACGATACAATTATAGGCGTGTATAATAAAGACCATTGTAAGCAGAAAAAGTAAGGGGCGAGGAACTCGCTTTAAAGAACAGTTAAAACCGCCACTGGCTAAATTTCAACCTTCACTGTTAACGGACAGACAAACGGCGGAATAGATGTTCCTCATCTACGTTTTAGAATGTAAGACAGTTTAGGAAGAAGAAGAAGAAACAAGAAGTTCTGGAGTCCTTCCTTTAAAGTTTAACTGACATAAATAGGTGTGTCACTTACCGAATGGGTCAGGTTTGAACCCCAGGAGCCACTGTGGCGGCACTCTAAAGCCAGGAAGGCAACATTCAACACTTAACGCAAGTCAACTGTTCAACACCGACTGAGAACATTCCGCTAGCACGCGTCTCAGCAGCCTTCCACATAGTCCCCTACCAACACAGGGCCCCACCCCTAACACTCTGCCATCTATACGCAACGACACAAAACTAAGTCCAACATCCTTCTCAGTATTTAATTAGAAACAAGCTGGTCTCTTAATTAAGCTATTGTAAAGACGCTGACAGAAGTATTGATTTACAGTATAGCACCAAGTACAAATGAAGTAACCACAGTGTGTCTTGCACTGGGAAAATCCACAGATCGAAATTGCGACATGTAAGATTATGCGTCTCTGGGTGTGCTGAAGAAAGATAGGAAGCTTGTGACTTTCTCGATGCTTCAGTTTCTTCGACACTGATTTTACGAGTGTTCACGAAATGGTTTCATGGATTTCTACTGCTCTTCTTGTTCACTCGACCTCCATATCCCTTGAAATGTAAATATTATTCGATTAATCGAACGATTCTTCAGTCGCCGATTATTTTTCTACTTCGATTATGGGAAATGCGATACACGTTCTTTGTGTGTGAACTTCAGAATGGAACGATTGCAGGTACCCGTGCCATATAGTAGACGTGGCAATGAAAATTCGTTATATGTCGGACATCTAAGTGACTATTAGTTTCTCAAGAAATGTTCCATGACAGAGCTAAAATAAAAGACATTTCAAAATGGGATCAAATCCCGATGAGGTGGATTTTTTCAATTTACCTAATCCTTCCAGCCTCACTATGGCCATGGGGTCGACTCAGCATCTAACAGAAATTGGTACCAGGAATATTCTTGGGGGTAAAGGGCGGCCGGCGCGTAAGGCTGAGAACCTTACCGCCATCTGTGAACTGATTGTCTGGAAAATGTGGGTACCTCAACATATCACAACCCTATGGGCCTTCACGGATAGCTTTACTTTACTTTTCTTACTTCACTGAAAAAAATAAATTAAATAATATTTTTCCGAGACTAGATAAAATTGTATCCATATCATATCAACTTATACTTCTGAACGTGAAACGTGGATTATAAGAAAGAACAATGAAAGAAGACCGACAAGGTCTCATGGTAACTCCTTGATGGGTACTGGAAATAACTTACAGGAGGCGTGACCGCGCCATAGCTCAAGCGGTTAGTCGCTGGCTTCCCACCGCGGCGGCCCGGGTTCTATCCCGGGGTCTGGTCAAGTGGGATTTGCGGTGGACAGAGTGGCGCTGGGGCAGGTTTTCTCCGAGTACTTCGGTTTCCCCTGCCAATCTTCATTCCACCAATTGCTCCACAATCACCCTCACCTATCATCTGAGTCTGGTACAATAGGCCAGAAATGGCCGCAGTACAAAAAACTTACAGGAGGCAGATTATAATGTAAAAATATTATAAAAACACTGCAAACACAGTAGATTACTAAACAACTGTAAATAAACCGAGGATAAAAATAGAAAAAAACTTTAAGTCAGGGCTCAACATAGGCTATATGCCCTCAAACGAAGAAGTAGTATAGGAACTCGTAGAAGTAGATGGATTGACTAATTTTTTTTGTGGGCCTTGAAACGAACTTCAGAACCCTAGATACTTCTGGAAGAAGAAGATGAATTCAGTATCTAATCACAAGCAGGCTTTTCATATCTACATAAGCAGAACTATCTCCTTTCTCCGCACTACTACTTAGTAGCTACACTTCTAAATTTCTAACCAAAAGAATCATCTTGTTGGCAGCAGTTGTGTTCGTCAGTTTATCAGACTGCTAATCAGAGAACTCTGTCTTTCTTGGGAAGCTATTATTCGCTGAACTGATTAAGAAATTCCTCTCCTTTAAGGAATCTTATAATTCATTCATTTCTGTCTTCACAGCAGTCCACCATCGGACACAATCCTAAGGCAACTGAATCCAATCCAAGACCCCTTCTACGCCACTCATCCCATTTCAGAAATTTCCTTTCAACGCTTATATCTCCAAAATGGCCTCCTATCAGCTTTCTTGACTGCAGTACAGTATTTGTCGTACCTCTCATGCGTTCTAGATGTCGCGTCTGCTCTTCTGGATTTGATGGATAGGTTAGGTACTCATTATGCTGTACGAGTATAATGTTATCGCCTTCTGCTACTTCGTGTCTCTTAGGTTCAAAATCAATCAGGAGACGTTCTGAACACGGAGCAGTTAATAAATCCCGTAGGTTTCTGAGCATGTGATTAAGGCAGTAGGTCAATATGCTGCATTTAAAAAATGTAACCTGAAGATCACAATATGGCAGTAAAAATATACATTATGTTAAGTACCTGACGTAATGTCCCGTGTATATTGGGAAAGATATTGTGATTAACGAAAGTCACCTATATGTTGCACGCTGTGACGGTTAAACGCTCAACCTAACATATCAAAATATTGCAATATGACATTATGATTAATGCAAAATACATGCATAAGGAGTTGGGTGGAGGGGAAACATTTGGAGGGCTAATAGGCCTGCATTTGTTGGGGTCGAGCCCGTCTCCTTCCTGGGTGGCGACTCGTGTTAAAACCAGTGGTTGGACTAGTAATATGTAATTATAATTGCATATGGTTAAGTTCAAAGGTCATTAAGTACTTGCCATGATAATTCCACCCAGTTCAGTTCACAATCGTCGGAAATGTTAATAGAGCAGCGCTTCGGAAAGGCATTGTTTGAACAAGTGGCGTGTGCGTTACGCAGCCTGTCCCAGCAGAGTTACGAAAACACGACCGCTGTTACTATGTACTCAGTGGCACAGGACGTGTTACGTGCAGGTTCAGTATCCGTCTCCCTCTTTCGCTTTAATTATCCATATCTGTAAGTTATTTAACGACGCTGTATCAACCTTAAATTTACCATCGGATGAAATTATTATGTATGATCAAGGATTATTATGTATTTTTTATGTACGAGGGGTTACCCAAAAGAAACCGAACTTATTTTTTTAAAACTTATTTATTCAAATTTTAAGCACAAACCTTCAATCCCCTTCAAAGTACTCTCCACTTACACTAATACACTTGTCTAGTCTTTTATTTCATTTTTCAAAACATTGTCTAAATTCATCTTTCGAGATGCTTGACAGCGCCTCCGTCGTTTTTTCCTTTCATGTCTCTTTTCATTCAAGGAAACAAAAAAAAAAGTCGCACGGGGCAAGGTCGGGTGAGTATGGAGGGTGAGGAACAGGGGTCATACCATTTTTGATCAAGAATTGTCGCACAGACAGGGCTGTGCGAGCAGGGGCATTGTCATGATGGAAAAACCAGTCACCCGACTGCCACAAATCTGGCCGCTGAGCTCCAAGTCACTCCCGACAGCTCCACAATTTCTTCAATGGTCCGTCGTCGATCTTCCTTGATGATTTCACGAATTTTTTCAACATTTTCATGTGTTCGGGCCGTGGAAGGACGACCAGAACGAGGTTTGTCATCAATTGACATTTCACCATTTTTGAAACGGGAAAACCACTCAAACACTTGAGTTTTCCCCATAGCATCGTCCTTGTACGCCGTTTTTAACATTTCAAGAGTTTCTGTTCCACTTTTCCCGAGCAAAAAGCAGAATTTCACCGCCGCACGCTGTTCACGAAAATCAGCCATTGCAAAAACGACGATCACACAAAACAGTTGTCACTATAAACTCTGCCGAAACTAGTCCTTACCTTCTGAAGCAACGGTAGTCGGCTTATCGACTCAGGAATGTTAGCTCTATGCGCTCATAGCGGCAAAACGCGGTACTACAAAAGCTCTGCCCACAAAAAAATTAGTTCGGTTTCTTTTGGGTACCCCATCGTATGATCAATGATTATTATGTATTATTGTTTATGAGCAAGGATTATTATGTATTTTTATGTATGATCAAGGCTTATTATGTATTATTATTATTATTATTATTATTATTATTAACGATCAGTGCTTATTATGTATTATTATTTATGATCAAGGATTGTTATGTATTATTATTTATGATCAAGGATTATTATGTTTTATGTATGATTAAGGATTATTGTATTATTTATGATCAGGGATTATTACGTATTTTTTATGCATGATCAAGAAGAAGAATTTCCCAGCATTTTATGGAACCCGAAGGTTCATTACCGTGTTCACATGATCAAGAATTATTATTTATTATTATTTATGATCAAGGATTATTATGTATTTTTATGTGTGATCAAGTATAAAAAAAAATCTGCTCATCTTTCCCGTGACTAGCGAAAGTGGAAACATCTCAAAATTTCTTTATTAACATTAACCTGCTCTCATTTCATAGTAACTGAAGAAATACATGTCGCGATTCTGACGGGTTCACTCGTCTTCAGACCTCCTGGTTAGATAAAGCTAACAACAAACCTATGAGCCGATTGTCTAAATAATTTGGGACCCTCAACGTCTCACAACCCTATGGGCCTTCACTGCCTGGTGCAAAGATAGCTTTATTTTCTTTTTACTTTTGTATTAACAACAAAAGGAAAAGTAATGTTTTGTAATATGTAATATGCGCTTGACTTCACGCAGAGGTTCACTGGGTCCAAGAGTCTGGGGTGGGGTCAGCGGACATAAGGTCAAGAAGTGACAAAAACAATTTATCAGGAAGTCATGTGATAATACTTATGGAATAATATTTTGACGAATGACGATACAGTCGTGCCCATAAGGAATGGAGTGGCTTGGGATCTGCCACGTACGGTGCGCTATGTGTGATGGAGCCAGGGCGAGGCGATATGGACGCAGACAAGTTCCGGGGGGAGGACATTTTATCTAGATCATACATGAGCAACCAACGGCCAGTGGGCCACAGCTGGCGGTCGTCACACTTCTCCTTTACGTTGTTATATTAAACTAATGATTTGGTATTTAATTATCTGGGCCGGTCACGGTAGCCGAGCGGCATGAATTGTCTTCGCTCACTCGGACGCCGGGATCGTGAGTTCGAATACCACTCGGGGCATGGATATTTGGCATGTGTATGTGT